CGCCGCAGCTGAAGCGGATCCCGACAATTATGTCTGGATCCGCCCAGCTGCGTGAGTGACAGCTGGCTCTGCCTATTTAGCGGCAGAGCCAGCTGTACCCACCCCCTCCCCCGTCCGTTTGAGGATCGGTGGAGGATCGGAGCGGGGAGGGGGGAATCCAGCTCCTTCCCTGTCACGGCAGAGAGCCGTGACAGGATCGAGAGGTGAGCGAACACCGGAATGTGTTTGCTCACCTCCCGATCTACTGAGCCGACCTGTGACAGTCTCATTGTCACAGTTCGGCTAGAACTATGAGGTGAGTGAAAAGCACTTTAATAATGTAACAGTAATAAGCGAAAGAGGAAATATGTTCCTCGCGAAATAAGTCCACAACTGAAGATAGAGACAGAGAAAAGTTGTGGTATGTAGAGTTGTATTTTTATTCTTATAATCATAAAAGGACAGCAGATGGTCTATGGATGATGGGTCAGGTACAGATGTGAAGATTTAAAGAATAATCCAGTTCCTGATAATTTGTCTCACTTCTGCACGATTTTAACCCCTTCGTGGTTTCTATAGGGTCTTGGCATTCAGAAAATATATAATGTTGGGGGGTTTTACGTCATTTTCAGGCCTAAAATGTGGAATATAACATGGGTGCAAAAATGGAAAAAAGGGCCTCAGTCATGAAGGGGTTAAGGTAGTGAGTTCCTAAACCCTTAAATAAGTTTTTAAGGAACATAGTTAACATAAAACTGTCATCAACCTAGGCAATTCAAAGTGGGCATGAGATAAAAATACATAAGCCGTGGATGCCTTTAAAGAAAACTGTAAGTCATAGTGATCAGTGTAGGGCCAGGACTATATGTGATATGGCCCTATAGCAAATAATTTATTTTCTGAATGTAACTTTATCTCTTGGAAAATTGCAGTATAGATGTGTTTTATAGGAATGACATGTTGTACTGGAGGCAGTAAGTAAGTAAATGGAATAATTATGAGAGCTAATAGCTTTGCTGGAGGCCACTGGTTGGGATTTTACTCTGTGACATGTAGAACCAAAACATGGATATAGATTAAATCTTTCAAGAAAGCTGTTGTATGAACTCCCAACTAAAATAATTACAGGAAACATACAAGTTGTTAAACACTGTGGGGGTGATTTACTAACCTAAACACACGCACGCACTAGGTGTGTGTGATTTTTACACAGCAAAACGTATTTATCAACCAAAAAGTCTCTAAAAGCATATTTCCACTAATGCCATATATGGAAAAATCATGCACATGATGCATATATAATGCTGCTTCACAGTTTAGACAAAAATGGTTAGGTCATGCATTTACATTCCTGCATTCATCAACGCAAGCAACACAACATAGAGCTAATTTACACAACATCATCTTGCAAATTCATGCAGGGCTTTGCACAACACACCTGCTGGGTGTGTACACACTACAAAGGTGTTTAGATTCCACCCATAGATCATGCTGGGAGGGAACACACTACAGAGGTGTATACATGTTCGTGGTGTGTTTATAAGGTTAGTAAATCAACCCCTGTATGTTAAAGCAAGAATTGAATGTAATTGAACTGCATATTTTTGCTGCACTAATCTTGGAAAAGAATGCAACCAATCCGTTTCTACTGAAGACTTTAAGCCTCTCAAGATTAGAATGGACCTATTCTTAATAATCATTTTTTTTATGCCAGGACTGCTTGATTCTTGTCAAGTGTTTTTAAAGCCAAACTTTATTTTGTAAGATTTGCATAAAGTTAGGAAGGGTTAGAACCCATGCAGATATTGTTGTCTGTGTCCCTGTTGAGGACTTCTTTTTCCTGAAGGCCATTGTCACTGGGAGATAAACTGATGGGGCAGTTTTGGTTTTAGAAAAACCTTGACTTAACGAATGTTGGTCATTCATTCTCTGTTCGCTGCTAGAAGTTGTATCACCAAAGTCTGGAAACAATCTCAACCCCCCCCCCGCTTTTCCATCTTCTTTTACACCATTTGCGTGAAAGCTCTTATTTTGTTTCTATCTTTATGGGAGATATGGCTTCAACATTCTAATAATACTTTATTGCCTAAGGTTATGTAATTTTGACCTGTGCTTTTCTTTCTTGGTGAAACTAAACTATTAACACAACAAGGCCTGTGCTATGCCTATTTCTTATTGGATCCTTCTTTAATTTCCTTGAATAACGTATGTGTCGTGTACAGTATCTTTAACTTGATTTCCTATTTTTTTTCTCTCCTTTTTTTAAATCTTTTTGTATTTATTTATTTGTTTTGTATTGAAAAATAGTAATGCTCTTCTAACAGTGGATCTACTGGTACTACTTCAGCATATGTACACCTTTTGTTATGTTGATACTTTTTCTGTGTGTGTACTTTTCGACCACTATATTTTGTAACCTGTTTACCTTCAATAAATACTTAACTTTAAAGAAAAAAAAAAGAAACACCTTGACTTGATTTTATTGAACTTTAAAATGTAACATTAAAACAAAAAAACTGTACCCTAAAACAAATTGCAAACAAAAGGCAAGGAAAAAATATGGAATGAACAAAAAACCTTAAAGGAAAAAAATAAACTTAAAGCTCATCTCCAGCCAAATCTGTTATAATGTTAGTTTTGGACAGTTGGAGGAATTAAAAGTGATGTCTGGTGTTAAATACTGGCTTGGGAATTTTTTCCTGATGGATTTTAAATACTGTATGAACCACAAAGGTGAGGGTTCTCCACTCTTCCTGTTCTGTCTGACACTTTTCACCTGAACAGAACGTAAGAGGAAGAATCTCCCATGAGGGACAGTAAGGACATTTTGAAAGAGGTTATAAACCTTCCTTACTAGAAAATGTATTTTTGTTTCTGCCTGTTTCCATGTTTGGGGTTTTTTCCTGCGTTTGTTGGCTGCTTGCTTCTAAATGATGAGACCAAACTTAGCTCAATGTGAACAACTAATGAACAAAGTAAAAAAGAAGGCAAGAACGTAAGAGGAAGAATCTCCCATGAGGGACAGTAAGGACATTTTGAAAGAGGTTATAAACCTTCCTTACTCTACTGGAAAATTTATTTTTGTTTCTGCCTGTTTCCATGTTTGGGGGTTTTTCCTGCGTTTGTTGGCTGCTTGCTTCTAAATGATGAGACCAAACTTAGCTCAATGTGAACAACTAATGAACAAAGTAAAAAAGAAGGCAATGCTAAAAGTAGGCATCCAATTTGCCATGACCTGATAAAGGAAACACAGGTTCCCAAAACGGGTTGGCTTTTAAATCTATATATTATAAATTATTCAAGGCCTATCTTTATCCTAAATGGAGAGTCTGATTTTACCTTTTGAACCTTGGCACTGCAAGGTTCAAGTGAACTTGTCGCTCATTTTACTTACAAGCGGTGATATTTACAATGAATGATTAAATAAATGTAAGTATTTTTTATTTCAACATACGTTTTATTTGCTTTTCTAGGTCCGAATATTCACATACTTGATTGGAAGAGAAGTTGCCTTTGCAGATAACCTAAAATGGATGGCTTGTGCCAACAAGGGTCAGTCATGTAATCTTGATTTATAGATGTATAAATTGGAAAGAAATGTCTAAGTATTGCCCAGTACATGCATAATAAACATGAAATAGGGTTACCTACTGTATTTATTCAAATGTGGTGTGATGTCAGAATAATGTCCAACATGGAAAGTCAATTGTTTGCTCCACTTTGGTTTTTAATTGTTGGTATTCATTGATATTGGTCTAACAATATTTATTACCTGGTTATCTTTTAGAACAAGACTTATTAACTGATATACACATACCTATGTGGACTGCTCTGTGCGTCTTGATATCCAAGTCTCGCACTACCACTCTTGTATACCAATATTTGGCGACATCTTCCTGTTTTCGGAAATTTACCAATCTACCTTAAAGCTTTTCTTATGTAAAAGAGCAGCAAAATCATTACCGGCAGTGTAGCAGTCAATTTTGGTGCTACATAAAACTGTTGAGAAAGGATTGAAGGCATCTAATTAATATGTTCACCATGAAGGAAACCTGTACTAAGAGAATTTGGAGGCTTTGTTACTATTCTCTCATTCTGAAAATGCCAGTTGTTTAGCTGCTATGCTTGTGCAGTGTCTTCAGTACTTTCGAGTTACTGCGCCACAACAAGTGTACAGTTTAGCAGATCTGTTCTGACTTTGTTGGTACATGCTTGTTACAGGTCAGCGACTGAAAGTTTCAAAGACAGATAACCAGCTAGAATTGAAAGAGGCCAGTGATTGCAGCCTCCATATTTCTCTTTGTACAGGCTTCCTTTAAGGTGACTCTGTTGCTAAAATAAAACAAACAATACATGAAAATGAAGAATGTAAATACATACTTTTCCCACTGAATTTGACACTTCCAGGGGTGTCAGATTCCTGGACCCCCCACTGCACTCTGTGGTTCCTCCTGCCGAGCCCTGAGTCACTACAGTCATGACGTAGGGGTGGCAAGAAGACCCATATAGTATCTTAGTACAGCTTTAACATGCTAATACATTTTTAAAGGCATTTTCAATCTTTTTAAATCTCCAGCTTTCAATAAAGTGCACGAATAGAAAAAACTTTTTTGTGTAGTTTTGGATGGAGTTGAGACGAATTAAAACTTCTGTCGCGTTTTTATTGCTGCGTGCGTTCAGAAAAGGTAGATTCCCCCTTTCTGTCTGTCCTGGAAACAGCTGTACCTGAGACAAAAAAAATTATCGAAATCACGCATTTTAGAGTTGTCACTAGAACAGAGTGATCATAAATCTTCCAATGGGGGCACTTTTTCGGGTGACAACTGTCTAAGAGGGGAATTCCCCTACTTTGTAGATATTTCCACTCACTTTCTGTTGCATCTCCAGCTTAGCATGTGAAAGGAAATCTCTCTAATGGGAAAATTAACTGACAATAGTTTTAAACTCTACTTTCCTATTCTATCCAAAACAAAAAGAAAAATGTTTGGGCTACGCAGACCCTTTAAACAATATCCTGTTATGAAAGTCCTTGCTCAGGCACTTCCTGTTATGAGCTGACAATGTTGTTACTGTCTAACAATTGCTCTCCTGCTCTGTCAAACCATCACATGTACTTTAAATGGCCATGCTGATGCTTATTATGCAGATATGTTCCAATGTTGTCACCAAGAAGAAGCTAGCTTAGAGCAATGCCATACAGCAGCCATTAAATTAAGTGCATGCAGACAGGAAGTAGCTGTAGAGAGGATGATCCCAGATAGCAAGGCTAACTTGCTACAAACTTGTGGCGGGGTGTCATTTTAATTTTGTTAACTTGCTGCACAAGTTCTAGTTGACACTTTTTGAATTTGTAGCAAATTTGCTTGGCAAGTCTACAGCAAGAGTCCTGCAGGTCTTAGCAAGAGCTCTGCAAGCTCACTGGTCTGGAGACTTGCAATGCAGACTTGATGTAATAGTGCAACAAAATTGTGAAGCTTGGCAAGTCTGCAATAGTTTAGCAAGTCATTTTCAAACTTGCAGCACAATTTCTTGCTATCTGGGATGTGGTTCAGCAATGCTCAGATGCAAAAAAAAAAACAAATGCAGTATTTTCTAAAAGAAAATTCATAATACTTTTTCATAAAGGGTACTTCAGAAAATGAAATGTTATTCAGTTAGGATTAAATCTAATTTAATCTAACCATAGATGTACTAGGATACATACCCACCTATCATGTAACACCTACTAGCAAATGTCCCCCCGACTGGAGGGAAGTGTGTACAGGCTTGGTCAGAGAGGGGGTACAGGTACAGTGTTGAAGGGGTGTGTTCAGGTGTTGTAGTGAGAATGGGGTTCAGCATTGGGGGGCACTTTGTGCTGGCATGAGTTTAGCTGGGCCTACTGGGTGGTAATAGTGAAGGCATATTGGTGCAAGGAGGGGTTTTGGGGCAGTAGTGAGAGGGGAGTGGTGATAGCAAGAATTGGTGAGAATGTTGGGATGCAGTGTAGTGGGGAGCAGTTTGGTGGTGCTGGGAGACGGGGAACTGCAGACATGATGGATGATGAGAGAAGGGGGTTTGCATGCACAGTAGGTAGTGAGAAAATATAGCTTCAGGTGTGGTGGCTGCTGAGAGAAGGCGCATGTGACATGGTGACATGAGACCCCAGCAATGCCCCACAAATGAGGGATGTCAGCTAAAACCCCTAGATATAAAGATCACTGTCCAATCTGTATGAAATCTGTTAGAGCAGGGGTGGCAAACACAAGGCCCGTGGGCCGAATCCGGCCCGCCGGACCTTGTAATGTGGCCCGCACAGCGCTGCCTGCTGTCAGGATGGCGGAGCGGTGAGGGGGAGAGAAGCCGCGCCCGCAGCTGTCAGGATGGCCGAGCAGGTAGGAGATCGGAGCCGCTGTCATCCTGTCAGTTTCAGGATGACAGCGGCTCTA